AAGATGACTAAAACTTCACTGTCTGAACAATTTTTTTTAAATAGATTTCAGATTTAGGAGAGGCATTTGTAAAAGGGAAAATTCAATTGATCTCAAATCCTAATAAAACAGTCATATTCTAATGTTTATGTTAATATTTTCACAAAAAGATATTGTATACACAAAGAGATTTCAAAAATAAATGACCGAAAATACTAGTTTTTTTTATATTTACGCGATGCTTTTTGTTTTGGATTAAATTTGCATATGTATTTTTGTCTTGGTTGTTGTTATCAATGTTTTCGTAGATATTTCAACATGCAACATTTCTTTTTTGTATTACATATTTATATAATGTCGTCTAGCTGCATATCTTTTCTGACATGTGTTTCATCAGATTTCGTTTCTCCTTGAAAAAAAGATCGAATTGACATGTAATTTTCTAGATATTAATCCATGCATTTTTGAAATATAAAATATATTTCTAAAATCAACCTCTTACAAATTAGATGTCAAAATTGATGCAAAGAAATGTTAACGGCCCAATCGAATGCCCTTATCTATATATATATATATATATATATATATATAAAACCAGTCTAAAATGGTACAACATCACCAAAAAATTACAATAAACGAACAAATGTAACTATAAATATTTCGGATAACAGATATCCTTCATCAGTATGAGCACGATGTAAAATGAATCAGATCAATCTATACTGATTATTAAACTATAGCAATCGTGAATTCTATACAATAAAAAAAGTGAAACAGATTCACCCGAACATCATATGTAGAGAAACTAATAAATTTTTAAAATTTCCATAAAACGACTCAAAGACATGCCTAAAATGAAAATAGTAATTAGAGATATGAACTGGCACAACTCTAAAATTCCAAAATGACGTCAGTTAAGGTGTTACAACAACTGCGTGTAAATACATTCCCAAAAAAAAAACAGCACTGATCGATATAAGCTGGTAAAATATGTCAAACAGAGGCTGCGTACTTATCATCCCAAATAAATAGCAGTTTTAAAATGAAAAGAAAAAATAATAGTAAATTTGGGCTAAGGTTAAAAAATTGGATGTGGATGTGTACTTGTACATCCCTACCAAATGCAAAAGAAACCTGGTATTTAAACAAGTAAAATTCAAAAAATTCCAAAAGAATCCTTAAAACTGTAAGAGTCAAGTAAGGAAGCCGGAGTAACTGGAAACAAATGATGTCAGGAAAATGAGTGATGGTAGGGAAAGTGAGTGACTCATTCTATGTTTTTTCATTTATGCCCTCTGGGGAAACTGTCCTTAGCTTTCTTATCCAAAACCTTTCCCGAGCAAGTCTTTCGGCCCTTGACCAACCCTCGTTGTGGTCTTTCGGCCCTTTCGGGAATGTATTTACACGCAGTTGTGGTCAACGAGGGTTGGTCAAGAGCCGACAGACTTGCTCGGGAAAGGTTTTGGATAAGAAAGCTAAGGACAGCCTCTGTTTGACATATTTTACCAGCTTATATTGATCAGTGCTGTTTTTTTTGGGAATGTATTTACACGCAGTTGTTGTAACATCTTAACTGACGTCATTTTGGAATTTTAGAGTTGTGCCAGTTCATATCTCTAATTACTATTTTCATTTTAGGCATGTCTTTGAGTCGTTTTTTGGAAATTTAAAAAATTTATTAGCGTCTCTACATATGATGTTCGGGTGAATCTGTTTCACTTTTTTTATTGTATAGAATTCAAGATTGCTATAGTTTAATAATCAGAATAGATTGATCTGATTCATTTTACATCGTGCTCATACTGATGAAGGATATCTGTTATCCGTATATTTATAGTTACATTTGTTCGTTTATTGTCATTTTTTGGTGATGTTGTACCCTTTTAGACTTGTTATATATATATATATATATATATATATATATATATATATATATGTATATATATATATATATATAGCTGTCAGATAGTACGACCGACTATTCCACATTGATTAGCACTAGGCTTATTTCGTAGTGCATTTCTTTTAGACAATAAATGAAAATAAAAAAAATCCCACCTGCGCTTTCTCAATAATATTTTTACAGTGTGTTGTACTACTTTTAGGACAAATTATATCAAAATTATAGAAAACTTCATCGGCTCTAACTCAAAATATGGACAATTTTATGTTAAGGGGGTCTTGAAATCTTTTGACAGCTTCCAAAGTGCTAATTTTTAACCTGTTTCAGCTGGACCAAATCACTACTTTACTTTAAAGTTCAAGACCCAAATTTTTTTACAGTGTAATTTCATCCCCCAACTTGCTATTTGAGGCATAAAACATGAAGAAATACATTTGGAAAAGGTATAAAAAAAAATGGCAAGTAACACACTGTCCACACTAGGGACTATATTTGTGGACAACGAAAATCAAGGAACGATAACTGTGTTCCCGGACCTAATAGGATAGAAAAACCTGACCAATCTTAATAAAACTTGGTATGACTAAAGCGTAATATATTATAAGACTGCTGACAAAGTTTCATGGCAATAGAATATATATTATAGACAATATGATAATTTATATATTCAACTTTGCTAGTTAAATTTTGACGTTTAAATTGAAAAAAATCAACTATCAACATTTGGGGCTTTAAAAATTAAAATATTGCAAAAAATTACTTTTTAAATGCCTTAATATATAATATATCATGTATTAAAAGCAATAGAATTCTCATTTGATTTATCAGACTTATCACAATTTTTCAAAAGTCAAATTTATATGAGCTTGTGCCAAAAAATGGAGTTTTTCCAATGAAGGGGGGCCTTACATGAAGATGTAATATTTTCCAGCAATTTTAAATTTGTGAAGTTTTTTGGGTATAAATAATCCTTATATATGTATTTAATGTACTTTAAATGGAAAGAAAAATTACAAATAGCATACCATATTAGTATAAAAGGGTCTTAAGCCAAGTAGGACTGAAAATAATTTAGGGTGAATTTAGACCTAGCACACATTTACATTCAAAAATGCATACTGAAGCTATAGGAAATAAAAATTTGTGTCTTTTTTTATTTTTTTATAATTTCTATACTCAGGTTACATGATACAATAAATCTGAGCACAAAATGACTCTTGCATTCAACTTGTTTTGCAGACAGTATGGTCTGATACAAAGATTTTTCACTTTTTAGTGAAAACTTGCATGCAATTTTAGTCTCAATAGGCTTATATTGAACCACTTGCTATTCTACAGAAGAAAAGAAAGATATTATGTGAAATGAAACAGGTACAAAAGATATTGTAAAGTGCTTTTTATACAAATTTAGTGAAATCTTTATTATGGACTTCAACTTTTATGTACCAAGCTCCTCACATTTAACTTGATTCAAACAGGGCGTTAGACGAGGGTCATTTATACAACACATTTTGCACATATTGTCTGAGATAATCTTCTTTTCTGTAGATTCAGAGTTAACAAATAAGTAATACAACTGGATTAAAGCATAGAAACACAAATATTGACACATGAAAATCTGTCACATAGAAAGTCAGAATGCCACCTATGAATCAAAATTGAAAAATCTTTGATATGCTTATTATGACCATATAATGCCAAAATGGGTCATTATTTACAGAATTTCTATCAAATAAAAGATTAAATCCTTTAGTTTCATGCTATTTGACAAATTGGCACCATTAAATCATTCAGGGAAGTTGCCAAAGTACAGATTCTATATTTACTGATTTCACCTCTTAGGTCCGAGTACACAGTTATTTCGTAGTGCTTTTCTTTTAGACAATAAATGAAAATAAAAAAAATTCCCACCTGCGCTTTCTCAATAATATTTTTACAGTGTGTTGTACTATTTTTGGGACAAATTATATCAAAATTATAGAAAACTTCATCGGCTCTAACTCAAAATATGGACAATTTCATGTTAAGGGGTCTTGAAATCTTTTGACAGCTTCCAAAGTGCTAATTTTTAACCTGTTTCAGCTGGACCAAATCACTACTTTACTTTTTAATTCATGACCCAATTTTTTTACAGTGTAATTTCATCCCCCTGCTTGCTATTCGAGTCATAAAACATGAAGAAATACATTTGGAAGAGGTATAAAAAAAATGGCAAGTAACACACTGTCCACACTAGAGACTATATTTGTGGAAAACGAAAATCAAGGGACGGTAACTGTGTTCCCGGACAAGTTGGCACGCTAATTTTCTTCCAAAGCATACAAAATTATCTCACAAGTTCTTTAACAAGAAAAACAACAGAAAACAGAAATCTGTTATGTACAACTATCAAGTAAATTTGTGTATATAAACTATAAATCTATGAAAATGGTCTCAGAATTTAATACGGTGTGAAATTACTTTGAATCAGATTACATACCTTAACATAACTATATCAAAAAAATTTCTTCATTGTATGCCTTGTACAAGAGACCTACTATATTCGTACACTCAGCAGAGATCTTGAAAAGTATCAGTCCAAATCAATTGACGAATAAAACTTTAAATGTCTGACATATGTTCTTACCATGTTAGTCCAAATGTCTGACACAAAATTTGTCATGTCATGTATAAAAGTATAACAAAAAAAAGTATAAACTCCAAGTCAAATTCCAAAAGGAAAGTCCACAAAAACTGACAAAATCAAACTCTATCAATCAACGGAACAAGTGAAAAACAACTGCCATATTGTTGACTTCATACAGGCAGTCTCCGAAGAAAATGTATGTGAGTCAAAATGTTCTGTGGAACAAATTTCTTTTCAATAGCTTGGGAGCAATTCGAGTACGAAACTGACACGACAAAAATAGAATATTACAACGCAATTTTCAGAGAAAGGAATTACTCAACTATGTCGTATGCAATATAAGCGACCGATAAACGTAACATATGGTTTATGATGGTGTGTTATGACATTATTTATTGTAACTTGAAACTAAATTTATTGTAACTTGAAATTAAATGTTTACAAAATATAAATAGAATTCAAAACACCGGAAATCAATAGAGGTTTAAATGACAAGAATCCGTTTGTTACTTCCATAATTTCGGAAAATGTCTGTACCAAGTCAGTTGCTTTCCAGTCGTTCCGTTGTTTAATATAGTTAAACGTTTGGTTTTGTCAGTTTTAAAGGACTTTCCTTTTTTTAATTTAATCTGGAGTTTGGTATTTTTGTAATTACAATTTTTCAATATAATTATCTTGTTAATTTGTCGTACAGCAATTCAAGTGATGAAAGTTTTATTTAAGCGAACGACTAGATTTCCATTGACTGTTGAACTGCATTTATGTTGATGGTTAGAAACTTCACAGGATGCTTGCTAATTTAACAATTTAGGGTAAAAATTAAGGTATAATATGAAATCTGACTTCTTTTTTACAGAAGAAAAGGTCTGAAAAAGGTCAAAGCCAAGTAAATAACGACAGCAAGTCCGACCAATGTAATCCAACCAGCACTAAATATGAAGGACATCAGCCTGGTTATACTGGAACAGGAACTAAACCCGACCTGGATAACCACTCTAACCAACTGAATCCAAACAATGAGAAATGTAAGGGGTCGAAATAACAATGAATATTTACAGCACGTATCAGTTTATATAAACCTGTGCGTGACATTTACAGTATGAGCAATATGATAAATAAAATTATTTCAAATTAAACTTATCTGCATTATTTTGTCTGTATCATTGGCATGCACACTTGGTGTAGTCTGGCACAATGTGTGCCTTAAGAGGTCGTTTCAGTAAATACCCATCCCGGTTTTGATGTAAGTTCGTACTGTCCATGTGTTATTTTTTCTACACTACTGTTTTGTACATATCTTGTTTGATTGTAAGCTAAATTTCGTCTTTTGGAGTTGTATTTCAATGTATAGATAGATGCCACCATCAAGTTTAACTCATCCCATTCCCTTATAATAAAATGGTCAAAATTGAAAATATAACGTCATTTTTCCAATTTTGTCAAAAGTTGCTATGATATCTAAATTTGTCACTGTGTCTATTGATCATATTGCTAAATGTACAATCGAATATAAAGGTCTGATGTATGCATAGCAGATGAAGAATTTGCGTACAGACGCTATTTGTCTCATTTCGCCGGTTTTTTTATGCCCCACCTACGATAGTAGTACAGGCATTATGTTTTCTGGTCTGTGCGTCCGATTGTTCGTCAGTCTGTTTTTTAATGCCAAAATTAGAGTTTTTACCCCAATTTTACGGTCCACTAAACATAGAAAATGAAAGTGCGAGTGGGGCATCCTTGTAATATGGACACATTCTTGTTTTAAATTAGTTTAGTAAAAATATCAAAATAGAAAGAAGACTACGAGCATGTCAATGCTGGCAATCAAACTAGAAAGAAACAAACTGCATGTAGTAAGTGTCAAGACCATGAACGTGTCAATGCTGGTAATAAACTTAGATGGATCATACGGTACTAGACGGTAGTAAGTTTCGAAACCCATAACATGCCAATGATAAAAGGCAACAGTAGTTTTTTGATGTTCAAATCTGTTAAATCAATTAAGAAAAAAAAAGGTAACAAACAAAAAACTTACGCATTCGCATTAACTCTAAAAGAAGCGTGACTGGATGCGTCATAATGCTAATAAACCAAGACAGATCATATCAGACAAGGAGGGTCTTTGACAGAGTAAACATGTATTCAGGAAAGCACCACCGTCACAACAGATCAATTTGAAGTATTGCAATCATTAATTTTACTTTATAAGCATGTGGCTAAAGCTTTTAAGGTAGAGTGCACATAAAAATAAAACGCTCTGTTATATCTAAACACGGACAATGTCTTAATAGCACACTATAACAAACTGCAAAATGCAGTTTTAAAGGACTTAATCTACTAGATTAGCACAAAGCACAAAAAAAAAACTTACATAAAGGAAAAAGACAGTCACGATCTATGAGTACTTATAGTTACTGAAAGCTAGTTTAAAAGAAATAACAACTAATAAATAAATAATGTTCTCACAGACATAAGTAACAATCAGTCGAATATTTTTAGATTTGTAGAATATATAAGTCATGTTTGTTCTGTATAAATACATACGGTTCAGTTTACACTTCAAAAATTAATTTTCTACAAAAATTTAGTTGTTTTGTATCTTTTACTATCACTAAATTGATATGGGCAGTCCACTTACAGTCAGAGTTTACTTAAGGTCAAGGTAGAGTAAATGGCCTATGTCACATATTATTTAAAAATTGTTGTGAAAGTCGAAAAATAATGCATTTATCTGTTTTATTTTCTGAAATATTACTGAAATAATTCTTTAGTAATAGATGCACATTTGTATAGGAAGCACATAAAATTAACTGAAAACCTTCTTCCATTTGTCTTAAAATCATTAAATCTCCAGTTACCAATGCATTGATTAATCATGAAAATTGAGATGTTGTTGATACATGACAGCCTATTTACTTTATTTTTACCCTAAGTCACTAGAACAAAATATATGTGAAATTAAAATACGTTGTTAGGAAGTTTCCATGGGAGATAATCAATTTTTCTTTCGAAAAGTCATCTATATTCAAAAGAATAATGATTTTAGGTTATCTACCATGGAAACTTATTAACAACGTATTCTGATTTCACATATATTTTACTGAATATAAGATGTTTTAATTCAAATGATGTCTGATTCTTATGAATATAGAAGATTTTTCGAAAGTAAAATTGTATGAAAGCTTAGTTTGGATATTTTTATAGCAATTCAAAATTACTACCTATCACCTTTAGCATGACAATAACAATTAAATTTGTATATACAAATTGTTAGACTGATTTTTCATAATATCATTGAAGTGGAATTAAAGTCTAATAGGATTGTAATTATGTTTTATTTTATCACCTGGCACTTTCACGACTTGACTGTGGTTTTCTACAGCAGTTTGTTTAAATTTCTGACCAGTCGACCAGTTTGGTTTTATAAAACAAATTGCAAATTGGTCAGAATTTTGAATAAGTTGCAATAGATGGAGAGCAACACTTACAGTCAAGTCACAGTAGTAGTAAAATAAAGAAACAAAATTTTATAGTTCTAAACATCATTATGTCTGCGATATCAATTTTTCTAAGAAACAAATTCAAGTGTTTTCCTAGGAATATTAAGGACATAGACAAGAATAACTAGGAAAATTTATCTGTAGACATTATTTACTGACATGGGAATTAAAGTAAATTTTGTAACCATAGACTTTTTTATACTAGCAATTTGTATTTGCTCGGACACATTTTCCCACATATATCTTGCAAAAACACTTGTATAAGCTGTATTATACATATCTAAAATAAAAAATTGAAAACAGAAGTATAAAGTCTCATAAAGAAGTTATTCACAGTAATATGTGTAATGAAATTTACAAAAAACTGACCCCTTTGATATATTGTGTAATCAGAATTGTACCCAGAATGACAAATCAGAATCGAAAATGGAAAGAGTTAGTATTCATGCAAACTGGTTTAACTCTTTGGTCCTCATTAGTTCTCCCTTGGTGGTCTAATATGTAGTAGGATCAAAGATTCTGTCTTTCTCTTTACTACTCAAGAAAGTACATAAAATAGGTTTTTCTCTGTCTAGCTTACAGTTTTCAAATTATGCGCAGGCCTTTCACAGCATATAAAGTACAAATTGATCTAGTGTTGTCTCTGTCTGGACATCCTTTTAATGTCTTCTAATCTACATTTCCATATTGACATTTTAAGTCATCCAGCTAGGTCGAAATTTCGCGTGACTGTTTTTCTGTTTGGGAGTTTACACTGATACTCATACCCAATAATGTGACTTTTTTGCTAGTCCTTTTACAAATAAATCCCAATGTCCTACAATAAAAAATATCGGAACAACAAATACCAACAAGGTAAATAAGCAACTAATTATTAACATGAACCTAATCATCAAGTAGCTTCAACTAAAGAAAATAATCTGAATTAGATTAAAAAAAAAAGATAAAGAATGCAAAGTGCATACAACTTCTTGGAACTTGAATCTGTTTTGTGGTAGCAATGTAATGATGAGCAACTAGGATATCATTTACCCAAACCCTTGTCATATATCTTAAATCTTGGCAATCTTGGCAAATATGAATTTTTATTTATGATGTTGATATGAAGACTTGTTAAGCTGTGAATACTTAAATAGAATAAGTTAATAAAAAGTAAATAAATTTTATTCTTATCATATATTTTTTTTATCAATTTTGCACCTTTTCCGTTTTGTTTAGAAGCATGCAAAAGAGATCTTTTCTAGCAGCTCAAGTGGTCCATCTCCACACACACAAACTCCGAGATCTACATTTTTATTGAATTGCAAGACAAAACAAAAACTCAGGTCGGAACGACGAGCATATACTAATTGTATTTCTCATTGTGCTTTAACTGACTTGATAATAAACTGCGAGTCACCAAAAGGACAAAAGTTTTATATTTTTTCAGGATACTATAAATTACGTAAGATTATTTATTTACTAGTAATGACCTTGACAGTAAACCTTTTAATTTAAAATTAGTTTGTTTTTGCTTCAGTTCTCGTATCATTCAATCCTTACAAATTAATATTAACATTTAAAAATGGGTTTATTTAAAGACATGCACATAAAAGAACGGTTTTTAAGGCCATAAAAGAATTTTGCAATACCAAAGCAAAGATGACTAGCTGTTTCAGAATTTTTGTATGCTCGCCTTTTGATTGAATCAATTTTACATACATGGTTCGGTTCCTAAGATTTAAGATTTAAGATTTATTGTAAAGCAATGCTCAGACACATATATGTGTAACATGAGTTAAATATACAATAATAAACATGAGTTAAATATACAATAATAAACATGATTTATAATACAATGGTAACATTTACTTGTTATTGTCGAAGCACCCCTCCTTTAAAACTGGACATAAGGCACCAAACAATCAACTAAGTTAACCTCATCCATAATCGCTAATAAACGTAAATCTTGAATCCATCAAAAAGTAAATACAAATAAATTTAAAAAAATATATCAAACACGACAAAAGGGTTTAGGTCTATGATTTATGTCGTCAAAATTCGAACATGAAATGGAGATGATTTTGTATTATCCAGTAATAATCTTAATCTGCAAAAATAATAAGTCGAATGTTTCGACAATGTTCGAGTAGTCTTGTATGACGAGTTTCCCTCTTTTTAGAATTTCTGCATGACACCTGTCATCTGACGAGCTTCAAAAGGATATGCACTTTAGAATTTCAAAGATATTGATGTTAGTGCAAAGCTCTAACGGAAAATAAATTAAAAGATCTGTATCACTGCTACACTTCATCCGCCTTTTATTTAGATACATATATTATTTTTTTTTATATTTAAAATTTTCAGGCAAACTTTCCAATAGTTTAAAAATAGAACTGTGTCATTTTTGTACGGAGGAATCCATTATAGTATAGGTAAGTTGTGGTAATATTAAAAAAGATTGACATGTAATTTGCTAGATGTAAATCAATGCATTTTCGAAAAATGAAATACATTCATAAAACCAACCTTAAACTAATTTAATGTCAACGTTGAAGCAAAGAAATGTTAACGGTCCAATCGAATGCCGTTATCTATATATAGCTGTCAGGTAGTACGACCTGACTATAAAATCATATTTCAGATTGATCTGCGTCGCACTGCGCTAGCTGGTACACTTACTTAACAAAGCATACAGAAATCTCTCATCACTTTTTCACCGGAAAATAAAAATCGGGTATGTACAACTATTAAGTATATTTTTATCATCTATTTACACAAGCTCGTTTTAAAAGATATATATATATATATATATATATATATATGAAAAAAGAATTTAATATGGTTTTGAATAACTTGGATTACAGACTAACATTTGGTTATCTTCTAATAATTGCATCAAAAAGATTTGTTCTTTGCTCTGCCTTGTACAAGAGGCGTAACCTATTCTAAGAGCAGAGTTTTGGTAGAGTTTCATTCCGAATCATTTGACTGATAAACTTTTGAAATGTCTGACATATGTTGTTATCATGTCAGTACTAATGTCTGACACGTGAATTACAGGCCTCTACAATAACTTTTTTTTCAACTTGCCCAATAGGACAAGTACATACCAAAACTTACTTGTCCGAATGGAATTGTAGCTTGTCCAAGAAAAAAACCTTCATATTTACCTTTTTGCATTTTAGGTTAATTCAATGAACAAAATGAATTCAAACAAAAGAACAGAATTTAATTTATATCTCTTGATATCCTTTTTAAAAATATGAGTCGAGAACAACTGAAACTAGTCATGTCTAGTCACAGGACTTAGGTTCTAGTTTTCATCAATGCCAAAGTCTCATCAGACTCTGCACATCAGGCACAGTCTGGTAGGCCTGTCAGTCTACACTCATTTAGTTTGTATCCGGGTCTTTTATGTTGATAAAATATTGATTATTATGATTAATGCCTTACTACAATCAGCTTTGTTTTTAATATATTAAAACGTTTATTCAAACACAATCAAATATTGTTTTGTCTAAATATGATGATCGGTAAGACTGGTTTCCGAGAATAGTATGTGTTTTATCTGTTATAAAGTATCTGACAAAGAACCAGTTTTAAATTATCGATCGCAAGTAAACATGTCAAATTAATATTTATTTTTATCTTCTTTTCTTGTTTTTTGATTATTACTTTGATCATCAAAGTTGGATTTAATTTATTTTCTTACTTGTCCCGTCGGGCAAGCTTGATATGGCTTTAACTTGTCCGACCTTTTTTTCCTCTGGTGTCGGACAATCGGACAAGCGTTATTGTCGAGCCCTGAATTATTCAATAAATTTTAATTGGACTGACAAATTTTCACTCTAGATAAAGACAAGTAAAGGTGGTATGATTGTAAATGAGACAACTATCCACCAGAGTTCGAATTAAGAAGAGATATGAAAGCATAGGCCACCAATGAAAAAATCCCATACAGTATAGTCGCCTATAAAAGGCCCCGACATGAAAAATGTTAAACAATTCGAGCGAGAAAAACTCCAAATATCCTGTTGTAATAAATCTGGAACATTCAAAGTACGAAACTGAAACAAAATAAGAATATAATAAACAACACAATTTTCAGAAAATGTAATTATGTTACCATGTCTTATGAAATATAAGCGATCGATAAACGTAATATGTGCTTTATAATAATGTACTATTGCATTATTTAAAGCAACTTATAAATAAATGTTTGCAAAATGTTTACAAAATACCAGCAATAGTCAACACACTAAAATACAATAGAGGTTAAAACGATTAGAAAACCAATATGTTATTTGCATATTTTCAATACAATTGTCCTGTTTATTTTTCGTCCAATAATTCATAATTCAAGCGATGAAAAAGTGATCGACTGGAATATATTAATTTTATGCGGTCTGTTGAATTGCAATGATTTATGTTGATGGTCTGATGCTGTACTTGATGCTTAAACGTAACGTTTGCGATTTAGTAGTAAAACATTTTCTATTTTCTGCTTACTTTAAATATCGGGATAACAGTCCCTTCTAAAGTCTAATATGACTCTTTTTTTACAGAAGAAAAATGTCTGGAAGAGGTCAAGGCCAAGCTAGTAACGACAACAAGTCTGCCCAGTGTAATCCAACCAGCACTAAATATGAAGGACATCAGCCTGGTTATACTGGAACCGGAACTAAGCCCGACCTGGATAACCACTCCAACCAACTGAATCCAAACAATCAGGAATTCAAGGGGTCGAAATAACAATGAATATTTAAAGCACGTATCAGTTTTCATATATACATGTGCGTGACATTAACATTTTGAACAATACGTACATTTAAATTATTTCAAATTAAATATATCTGCCTGATTCTGTGTGAATACCATCACTGCCTTGTGAAGTTAGTTTAGCATAGCAATATGTGTGTCTTAAGAGGTCGTTTCAGTAAATACCCATCACTGAATTCCTACTGCTCAAGTGCTACTTTAGTTTACACTGCCGTCGGTTTTGTACGTATCCTGTTTCGCTTTTTTTAAGTAGTTTTTTAAATGTTTAGATAACTGTGGTACAAGTAGAAGGCATAGCACATCGAACTTATTTTAACCCATCCATTCCTTTAAAACGGAATGGAAAAAATTGAGAATACATAGTATTTTTTCCATTTGTGGAAACAGTTGCTAATATATATATTTTGTCACTGTAACTGTTAACCATGTAGCAAAAGGTACAATCGAATATAATTGACACAGAAAACCTGGCTTTTATAAAGGTCTGATGTATGCATTGCAGATGAAGGATTTGCATACCGACACAATTTGTCTTAATTTATTGGGTTTTTATTTACTTGTTTATCATAAAGATCATAATATAAAGTAGTAATTGCCAAGACAAGGAACATGTCAGTACTCGTTTATTTGCCCAAGAAAGATCTTAAAAGACAGTAGCAAATTTCCAGACTAGAAACATGTCAACGCTGGTAATTAGACAAGGGAGAACAACACTGCTCGTAGTAAGTGTCAAGACCATGAACGTGTCAATAATGTTACCTTGATTTGTCGAACAGAACATGTCAATAATAAATGACAACAGTAGTTTTCGATGTTCAAGAGCATAAATCGGTTAGACAAATCAAGGTAACAAATAAAATAGAGGGATTCGCATGAACTCAAAAAGGAGCGAGACTGTGTGCATCATAAAGGTAATAAACCAAGACAGCTCATAACAGACAAGTAGTATCTATGATAGAGTCAACTTATTAAATTTTAAATATTGCAACCATTAATTTTACTTTATTAGCCTGCGGCAAAAGTTTTTAACTTAAAGAATACACATCAAAATAAAACGCTCTGTTATATCGCAAACATACAATACGAAATTTATACTCAAACTACTCAAAAATAGACAAGTCATGTAATTTCTCAAAAATACAAAAGTGACCATTAGAAATCGGATAAACTAATGTTTGTCACTGATGGGAAACACTGAGGAATCGAAGTAAACATATCGTCCAGTTGATACGACTTCCAGAGATTTGTGTTTTCAATAAGAATTACCTTGATGAAGGACTGCTTCTTATACAGAAGCTACTGAAGCACGGATTCGAGATCATAAAGGTAAAGTTCTTTTGTCGTATGTATTGATAGTAGCCATTATGAATTGGTTGGCCGTAACGAAATATTAGATATAAGCTTACGGACATATCCCACTTGTAGTCTCAAATCCTTTCTCGTTTCCTTGTTCATGATTTGTCATCCAAATTGATTAATCATGTGATTTTTACATGTGACAACAAAACACATCGATATTTGCACCCCATTCCGCCCACACTGTCCATTTTACTTGAAATCTTTATTATATTTTTACTTTGCAAATAAAGATATATGCAACTGCCCAAAGCTCTCTGGTATTCCATGACACTTTATATGTTCAGTTGCTGTGTATTCAATCTGTTCATTCTGTATACTGTTATCGTTTTTTACATCTTCAACAACTTATGTCAATGTTCTTTTTCAATGAACGGTTTAATTATACGCATACATTTAAGACAGAACAAATGGGAAAACTTCGTTTTACTTTCACTTTCACCCCAGGCCTTGCATAACTTTCAAGAAATATTCTGAAATTTAAAGATTCGGTTTCACTTCCACCTTTATCAAAAGTTAAAACCACTTTGAAGATTGTATGGATGGAATACACAAGTTTTTTTTATGTAGAATACGAAACGTACTAGGCTTGTTTCGTTATACACTGATTTTTTATCAGGCCGAAAAGTAAAACACTTTACATTCACTCTCATCCTTGAATAACTCACAGAAAATTAATCAGCAGTTTAACGATTTGCTTTCTTTTCCACTTTAATTGAAAGAAAAGACCACTTAAAAGGGTTTATATAGATTGTAGAAACACGAGTAAGACTGTTATTAAGTTTCTTAACTCTGTGTATCAATAATGTTTTACCAATATGAATATAGAAATGAAATGACATAATATATTATCTCCACTACGTCATCTTTAACATATATTGCGTTCATCTAAATGGACATACATGTTGTATAAATTATGCAAACAGTGTTGAGGAATGAATAAGATGATAATAATAAAGTGATGAAGACATAATCTTTCAATCAGTTTAATTGAAGTCTGGAGCTGGCATGTCAGTAACTGCTAGTAGTCCTTTGTTAATTTATGTATCATTGTCATTTTGCTTAGTTTCTTCTGTTACCTTTCCTGACACCGGACTCGGACTTCTTTTAAACTGAGTTTTACTGTATGTTTGTTTGTTCTACATTGGCTAGATTTATAGGGGGAGGGTTGAGATCTCACAAACATGTTTAACCCCGCCGCATTTTTGCGCCTGTCCCAAGTCAGGAGCCTCTGGCCTTTGTTAGTCTTGTGTGTTTTTTAAATTTTAGTTCATTTATATGTTTCGGAGTTTATTGTGACGTCAATTTTCACTGAACTAGTACACATTTTTGTTTAGGGGCCAGCTGAATCCCGCCTCCGGGTGACCCATTGGTGGCCTTGGGCTGTTTTCTGCTCTTTGGTCGGGTTATTGTCTCTTTGACACATTCCGCATTTCCATTTTCAATTTTAGTCACTTCAGTGCTTGCATTTTGAATGTCACTATGGTGTCAGTAACTTAGAACAATTTACATATTTCTACAAAAAGGGCCGTTCAACATAATGTTAAAGATGAAAAAAGAGTAAAAACAAAATTGTTGAACAATCTTACTTCATAATATGATTCTGGGTAAGGCTATGGAGGAAATTGTTTGTTATATCTCTAATACTTTGGAACTTTTTATTTCAATACAATATATATCATTATTTCTATTATTGTTTCTGTACATTTTCTTTTAAAGGGTAGGAATTTGTAATGAACAAGTTCCGTTTCGCCATATTGTTATGCATTTTACAAACAATCTCCTCATCACCATAAGATCATTTCCGGAGTATTGCTAGTGATTTTCCGATGTCAAATACACAGAAGCAGCTTCACCCAATGGAACATCTGGTAAATATATTTCCCAATTTTTTTTAAACTCTTTCCTTTAAATTGAAGCTACTGGGAGAAACTTATATCACAAGATAGGTGTATTGTCATAGCCAAGTTTTACAATATCACATTTTTATCAGTTTTACAATATCACATTTTTATCAGTCAAAAAGGTAAAAAAAAACTTTTACTTTCACCCTTGAATTACTTTTACGAAATAAGACAGAATAATGGACACGGTATTACATATTTTTCATTGAACTTCACAATTAACCGATTTTCTTTGGGTTTTTTTTAACTTCGCAGTCTCGGCCTATCTTTGTTCAATATCTACTTGAACGGATCTTTATGGTTCTTATCCTACTTTTAGCTGATGTTTCTTTACAAATACAAATACAAATACAACTATTTTTATTGGCACAAACTCATTAACAATAAATGGTTAAGACCTATTGCATACATATAATTATATTAATTGACATGGAATGAAAAGTTACATGATAACATATCATTATAGAATGAAAAGTTACATATTGGTGTTTCATATTAGTTCACTATTTCTTATATTTAGACACTCTGAAATGAAAGAGGAAGACAGTCTAAGTAATAATGCTCAGCTATTGTTAACCAATAGAGATATTTTATCATCAGTGGTAATGTTACGCTGTATTTCAAATATAACATTCATTTTATTTTCTAATATTTCTCGTTTTGAGGTAAATCTATTACATTGTAATAAGAAATGTTGTTCATCCTCAATTTTCCCATTTTTACAGATAGGACAGTATCTTTCCTCTCTAGGAATGTTAAGATGTCTTCCCCTTTCAATCATAAAAGAATGTGCAGTTATGCGTATTTTGCATATTGCTGCTCTATCATTTACATTGTTTAGTGAATCAACGTATGATGGTCTTTGACCAATTTTGTAGACTCGACGAAAGAAACTGAGTTTAGAAGATTCCTGTATGTTTGCATTTTGATTTTGCAAGCACTGATCATAAATTCTTTGTTTTACTTGTCCCAAGTGCTGCTTTGTTAAACAACTTTTTTCTACAAGATATGAATATCCTAAAGTTTGTAAAGTGCATTTAGTTTTTTTGATCCAGGGGTTTGACAACCTTGTTGCACAGAAAATTTGATTTACAAGTGTATTTTCTGATGAAAGTATATGCTCTAAAACATTAATGCTTGAAAATACAATTTTATTTTTGAGTGGAATTCGACCAAGCTCAGCACGACAAGCATCATTTGAAGCCTTGCAATGAACACCAAGTGCTTCTTTGATAAATTTAATGTGTAGTTTTTCAAAGGGTTCAGAGTCCCTTAAGGATGAGTAAACACCCCAAATTTCACAACAGTACATAAGTATATGTGATATTAATGTATCAAACAGTTTTTCAAGTAGTCTACATGGATTATTCAGACCAACAGTTTTCTTTATTTTGAAGTAGGCTTTTCTTGCCTTTTCCATAAGAGTATTAATGGCTAAATTGAAATTACCATTACATTTCATTACAATACCTAAATAAGAGTAATGACTAACAGTTTCAATACAAGAATCATTGTAAGTAAATTCGTCCAAAAAAGTTTTACCATTTGAATTAAATACAATAACTTTGGACTTTTCTGTGTTAACTTGTAGTTTCCAACAGTCACAATAATCATATAAAGCATTAAGACTGTTTTGTAGTCCTTTTTTACTTTGAGACAATAAAAAAATATCATCTGCATAAAGAAGAATATTTAAAGAAAAGTCCCCAATTACAACGGGATCAGAATTACAATTGATTAAATCATTAGTGAGGTCATTAATATAATAATTAAAAAGTACAGGGCTCAGTACATCTCCTTGTTTTATTCCTCGCTCAGATAAAAATGCTGAACTGAGTCCATTTGAAAACTTGATTCTGCATACTGAGTCAGTATACATTGAATAAACAATTCTAAAATATCTATTTGGAATATCGTGTATCAAAAGTTTATAAAACAATCCTATTCGCCAAACTGTATCAAAGGCTTTTTTTGAGATCGATAAAAGCTGCAAAAACCTTTTTTTTTTTTGTTGTTTATAATGATCAATTACTGATTTTAGTGTAAATATGTGATCAGCAGTGCGACTATTTTCTTTAAAACCAATCTGATTTTTGCTGATAAAGTTTTTACTATTTATGAAGTTCATAAGTCTGTTATAGATATTTTTATTAAACAGCTTGCCAAGGTTGGAACTGATGGATATGCCCCTATAATTTCCAGGGTCAAATTTGTTTCCCTTTTTGTGGAGAAGAACTAGAAAACTTTCATTCCAGGTCTTTGGAAAATTTTCACTAGTAAAAATAAAATTAAATAATTTATGAAGTGGTTTAATTAATACTGGTACAACATTTTTCAACATTTCATTTGAGATCATATCAGCAGATGAACTCTTACCATTACGGAGCAATCTAATAGCTTTTACTATTTCATCTGCATTTATTTCTGTGTTTATTTCATCTGATATATCAGAATAATTTAAATTAGCTTTTAGTGATTCAAATTTGTGGACTACATTGCTTTGATGATCATTATACTCATGATCAGACTTATTAAGATTTTTATAAAATTTAATAAAATCTTTTTGGGGAATATCATTAGCAGATTTATCTTTTACTTCTGACTGCTTACTTAGTTTGTTCAAAATCTTCCAGAAAACCTTGGGATTCTTTTCACAGGTGTTACTGAGTTCGGAGCATATTTTTCTTTTCTATGTTTTTTCTTCATATTTACAAAGTCGTCTAAATTTTGACCGAAAGGAATAAAATTTTTTCCTGTACTCTGCATTTTCAGGAAATTTATTTACAAGTTTTTCATAATTTTTCACCGAAGTGCGAAGATCATTACAACATTCTGAAAACCAAGGTTTTCGGTTAGACTTCTTGTTTGAATTGTTTTTTGGGAAACTTCTAACTAATTTAGCTGACTTTTGAGCATTTTCATAGAGAATTGATGTAAAAGCTTCTACAGCTTTGTCAGCATTTTAAAAATCTGTTTGTAAATATTCTTCAAATTTTTTCTGACTTGTTGTGCTGTTACTGTTTTGAGTATAGAGCTCAATTGCCTCTTGCGACCATATAAATTTAT